ACACACACACACACACACACACACACACACACACACACACACACACAAGTCAACCCTTGTTTTTCTGGTCTTCTGGGACACAGACACATGGAGACACACTCTGCCATTTATCCACGGGTTCAGATTATGTACGTTACATACTGACGACCGTGCAAGTAATTCTGCCATGCATGTTTATCCATGTGTGTGTGTGTGTGTGTGTGTGTGGCATCGTCTCTGACCTTGGCTTCAGCCTGACCCGTGAGTAATGGCTTCTCCTCCGTGATGGCGATCTCCTGCATTTCTGTCGTCATGGCGTCGCCTCCTGTACAGGTAGGAAGAGACCAGAGCATTTACAACCCGTCTCTTCTCCAGCTGTTCTGTTCTCTGCACAGTGACAATGAAAGCACGTTATAGGTGTGCCAGACACACACACACACACACACACACACACACACTAACACACACACTTAACACAGAGGCCAAATCTGGTGCATGTATGCACCTACACACAAGTGATTGAATACTGCATGCAGCCGTGTTTTCCTCCGGGACTCTGTTTGAGCTGTGGGACCTCATGAAAGTTAATTCGCAATTAGTGCCGGCAGAGATGAGCAGAAAAGGATTGTGGGGCAGAAAAGAAAGAAGAGGAGAGGAGGGGAGGATCAGTGGATGGACAGATTTTGGGGATGGGACATAACGTTGAGGAACAAAAGCACGGAGAGATGAAGGTGAGTGAGACATGAGAACCACCCGAGGGGAGGAATGACTGTGACAAACAAGTGGCTGATAACGATGGAGCGAAGGCGGGAGGGGGGCCCACTTTGTGTTGCATTACTGTTATCTGAGCACGGTTAGTCGAGCGTGTCCTTTTGTTTTCACACCTTTACAGCCACAGCGAGTGTTACTTTGTGTTACTGTGAGTCAGCCGGAGCAGCCAGTAGTTAAACGCTGCACCCCGAGGGCGTCACACGATGTGGTCGTTTTGGGAGAGGGAGGTTAGCTTCATTGGCTTTCCCACATTGATCTCTCCGCTGGTCTTGGAATTCAAACCGAATGATTGCGACTGCACAATATTATTGTCATTTTACGAGCATTTTATTTCACTGATATGTTTATAAAATAGCATAATAATGTAAGTGCTCTTTTGAATGTGACAATATATCAACATCTGAATAAAATGGACTCTGGAGCTCCGCTTGTAAAAAATGTGCCATGTCTGCACAATGTCCAAGACTCAACAGTGGAGGGGGAAGCCCTGCTGTTTGTTCTGGAATCACGTTGGCTCAAATGTTGGTGACACTCTTGTGTAAACAAACAAACACACGTGTAAACACAACGGGAAATACCGACATCAGCAAAAACGATTGAACTCATTTACATATTTCATATATAAATATTTAACGTAAAAACTATCCGTGTCATTTCTTTATATCGTACGATAAGTCGGTAATGGATAAAATGTTATGCAAAATGTTAAGTAAAATCTTAGCTGACTGTAAGATAGATAAACACTCATGTTGTTGTGCAGATTCAGAATTCCTTAAAGCTTAAAGGGAATATTACAGTAAGTGAGTGAACACAAATTGTTACTGTGTCCGTTTGACAGCATTCTGACTTTTAAAGCTAAAATATGGGACCTTCTGACATCACTTGTGTGTGTGTGTGTGTGTGAGAGTGTGTGAGTCAGTGCACACACTATTCATGCTTGCATAAACAGATGACCGTATTCTATCTGCAGCTTTGAAATCACGTCAGGCGAGTTGGTGTGTGTGTGTGTGTGTGTGTGTGTGTGTGTGTGTGTGTGTGTGTGCCTGTGTGCAAAAACTGAACTGCTGCCCCGTGGGGCATGTGTCTCTCTGGGCCTCAAACTGAAATGATTAGTCACCAAAACAACCCCCACCAACACACACACTCATTGTGTGCCATCCATTTCTCCTGCCCTCCCTCGACTTACATCTATTAATTAGTCTTGCACATATTGTATTAGTCTCTCCCTGTCACTCTCTTTTTTCATCTTCAGGGTTCAGCTTTTAGAGAAAATAGCTCCAGCATCAACTTGAATATGAACGTGGCTCTGGAAACGTCATGACTAACAGTATGTGATTCCTTTTGATCACTTCCTCAGCCCTCTAATATTGCTTATTATACACTAAATAAACAGTGTATTTCCTAACGATGTGATACTTATCCGGAAGTCAAGCTCAGGAACCTGTAGGACGTCAGTGTCTTCAGTATCTCTCTGATGTTGTACATTGTCCCACAGCCCATCCTTTATTTTTACATGACCTGACATGACAGCGGAGTAAGTTTGTTTATGTGCGCCTCTGTGTATATTTATAGGACTCTGGTTTGGCACCATTTGGATAGTTACGCTGCAACAGGATCTCTGTATATAGCATGTGATCCATCAGGAATACACAAAACTAAATTATTTTAAGAAGGGACTCTCGGCTTTAAAAACACACTATAATAATATAAAATTGTTAATTGTCTTTTCGACAAACGACACTGATGAGAGGCTGGTGGTGAGAGTGAACCAAAATAGAAAAGTTGCTTAAAGATGCTAAAATATTAAGCAGAACTTCATAGTCGGGGATAATCATCTTTCACACGAAACATGGTCATTTATTAACCATTAATAATAATAATTTAGAGTAGCTCGAAACCATTAATTATCACAATCGTTGCAAATTATAGTTGTTGATAGCTAATAAATCAATTAACTATTTAATCCTGCATTAGCATAAAATATGCATGGTATGTTATCACATGACCGCAATTCAACCCTCATAGGTCATGTGCTGACCTCTTCATGGCAAATGAGCCTGAATTACTGCATGAAATGGGAAATGACATTTATTGCTCGTGCTCTCATTTGCTAAATCAACTCTAGACTTTAACAGTGTGTTGCAGGAACACATAATCATTAATTTAGTTTTATAGACATAAACACAATGACGCGGGCCTCGTGTAACTCGCTTATTATAATTAATCCTCCCTCTCTCTCCCTTCACACACGCCCTCTCCTCCGCGCATACAGTTTCCTGAAGCTTTAAGTCGGCCTGACTCCCTCCATCGTCCATCTTTCTTCGTCTCTGCCTCCGCCCCTCTCTGAGTCATTGTGCTCTAGAGCGTGTAACAACCGCTAAACTGCACAGGAGGCACCGTCTGTCACCATGGAAAGAGGAAAAAACAGGGAGATGGAGAGAAAAGGGCAGATTTGCATGCAGCGCAAGAAGCAAAGAAGAGAATGTGTTGCTGGCTGAGAAAAGGAGAAAAAACTAAATGCCTCTTCTCTACATTTCAGCTGTCAGAAAACAGTTGTTGGGCTCATCTGAAGCACTGAACAGGTTCTCCACGTCTCAGATATCAAGTTCCATCGCACAACTGCTCCAGCGTAATTAATCCATGCTTGTTTTAAGCGCGTTCATAATCATGCAGAGAAATGGCATTGCAGTCGCCGTCTCGTTCTAAGATGCCATAATCTGTTTCCCGTCAGACCCTCCCGTCATCCTCAGCCTCACGCTGACTCCGTCTCTGCATCCTTCGATGCAAAGCGATGTCACCACACGGCGACTCTGGGTTCAGGCTGCCAACAGCCGCTCTGAAGCTGATTTTGGAGCAACGTAAGTGTTTACTGTACACTGCGCCTCACACTAAGAGTTTATAAACTGTAATAAACTCAAGTAAATCCTTTATTGATGCTTTATAGATCATAACAGACCACGACTTTTAGTAAAGCTAGGGCTGTCCCCAACCAAATGAAGTCGTAGTCGACTGTATGATTTTGTCGATCGTCGTGTTGAGATCGTCGATCTGTGAAACTGTAAAAAATAACACAAAAGCACCACTTTCAATTTATCATAGGCGCTTCTTGGGAAATTATCCTCATCATGAAAAAAAGGATAAAAAAAAAGCACAAATTGACCAAAAGAAAGATGTGATGACCCTTCCTCCAGAAAACATTCGATGACATCCTACCAAAATAGAATATTTGATTTCCTTACAGCTGCAGAGATTTGCTCTCAGTCAGCACTATTTCATCCTGATCCATCCACGCTGCTTTCGGTTTGTAACGCACTAGAATCTACCACACTACTCAAAATCTGAAATAGCTGTTATGGGACGGACGAAGTCTGCCAACAGCGATGCATTTCAATATGGACCAGTCGGGCATCTTTAGCTTGCATTCCTGCCATCAGTGAGAGACATTGGTCACATTTTATATTGTACAGTGAAAAAGAAAAAACAGCTCTCAGACCAGCCAGAAATAAAAGGGCTTCAACTTCAAACAGCGCCTGTGTTTGACTTTAATCGAGCACTAGATCGTTGTTCACAGAGCTGATGTAACAGGCTGCTGTCAGATAGGAAAACGTTCTCTCCATCTGCCCGCTTCCTCTTTATCTTAATCTCACAGCTCTGCACTTGTCCTCGTCTCCCTCCGTTCATCTTTTGTCTCACGCCGCTGACTTTTCCTTCTCTCTCCGCTCTCACTGCGGGTCTTTGTCTCATTCACTGCCATCCTCTCTCTGTCTCCACCTCTTTCTCTTTCTCCACCCGACAGCGAGTGAAAAGGGGAAAAAAATGGGCAAACAAGTTCTGCAGCGCCGACTCTTTCATTTCCTCTCTCTCGCTTTAGCTGCCACCGGTGTTTGTGCTCTGAACAAATAGGGGCACCCAGACACTCACATATACACACACACACACACACACACACAGACACATCAACAGTGTGCTGAACTAGGGCAGCGAGCATTAAGGTCACCTATATTGAGAATGTAGGCCGAAGGCTGAAACGCTAAAAGGTCAAACCCGTGGCATCCGGGCGCAGCTGCTTCAGTATGTGGAGGCTTTGATGTCGACATGTTCAAGGCCGTATAACAAGAGTGTGGTGGACTCCCTCAAAGTCTATGATGTCGCTTCATTTCAGCTGTTTGGGGGTCAGTGGGCTACAGTGTTTGTCGTGTAGACAGCGTCTGAACGTTTTTTTTCCTCACCTGTCACCGAACATTTCTTTGGTCTCCACCGCCTCCCGAGAGAAATATCTGGATCTTTAGCTGCTAAATGCTCCACTATGTTCACCAACAAGTGGCTAACTTTGTCTGTCTGCACCATAAAACACCATCAAATTCAATGGGGAGCGATGTAGTGTTCTCTCTGTCGCACCAATGCATCGCCCCGCTGACACACAGACACGCACAGAGAGCCAGGTGCTGAGGCCTCTCGGGACCGAATCCGTTCTCCGTCCTGAAATAAATGGTGTAATTCAGCAGCGCTTCACTTGCTGTCACACCTGGGGTACTGCTACGTCAGTATTATCTGCACAGCACCGTGATGTGCAGCACTGCCAGAGGGTCCGCCTGCAAGACGGTCTGTTGAGGAAGCTCAATCTGACCGTTTTACAATTCAGCACTGTTGGTGTAAGAATGGTGCACACATGCAAATGGAGAGATTTAACAGGAAGTACAGCTTTCCACTGCTCGTATGGTATACTCTGTTTACATGCACAACACTTAGTGTCTGCAGGATGACGTGTTTACGCCGTAATTTCTTTATATCCTACAGTACATCATTGCTGTTATTGTTGCATGTGCTTCCGTTTCTTATTGAATTACTGCTGCAAGGACCTCATTTGGAGATCAATAAGGATTAATTATATCTCAAAAGACTTAGAGCTGATCATGTTTCAGGGTGATGCTGTGTGTGACTGCCAAAAGATTTAAAGCAAATGGTATTGTTTTTTTGTATGAGTAGTACGTTGATTGAGTCTTTGGGGGCAAATAAAATTTGTGGTTTGAAATGCCAATAAGAAACAAAACCTCACTTTATCGCTCAGCGAGACGTGGCTCATAGAAGCTCACAGCGACAAATGCCTGGAGAGAAAAGAGGAACATCAGCCACCATGGAGCCCCAGAGAGGAGCCAAAGCTCCCCTTGTCTCTTCTCTGAGCTCCACCCCCCCGCCCGCCCTTAAATCTCCTGTGCTGCTTCCCACGGCGTTGGATGGGCATACGTGGATCACCTCATTGCAAGCAAAAAAAAAAAAGACACACGAATGAAAGAGAAGCTTGTTTTCTCTCTCCGTCTCTCAGCAAATCACTTTGACCTCTTGTCTCCACAAATCCTCGGCCGTCCATCACTCGGCAGCTCAGCTCAGTTCTTCCTCTCATTTTCAGGCCGCCTGTTATTCCCTCCATCGTGATCTCACCTCCACTCAGACATCCCGTCTCTCTCCGTCCGTCTCGAAAGGTGAGCGTGACGAAAAGGTTATTCGCTAAAAGAGCAGGCGATCCATCGCATCATTATGAATATCGTGACTGTAGATTCTGAGTTTTAGACATTAGTTTTGACTATCAATTGATCGCTCAACCATGTAAAAGGAAAAGTGGCATAAAAATAATGTACGTCTTGTGGGAGTCATTGCTACTGTTAGCAAGCTGTTAGCTTTCTGAGTGGTAGCTTGTCAGCCTAGCTGGCTTGCTTCCATTTTCCAAAAGGGATTACAAACTTAAGCTTCCACTAAAATGAGAACAGCTTTTCCACCTTAAAGGCCGACCTCACCTGAAGTGAGCCTGAGCTAAAGATGTCGTTAGCTTCGGGGCTGAACTCCTTCACTTAAATCAGCAGGTGGCCAGCAAGTCACGGGAACTTGCCATTTTGAGTTGCAGGACTTATTCATCCATCAATAAATTGTACTCACACCGCTACGTCCACAGCTGTAACATTCCTGCTGACTTCTTACTCACCGCCACACACAAGCTGTCTCTCGTGCACACTCACACTTGCTAATGTTTAGCACACAACCTACGCACTTCCTTATAGGAGGTTGCTACTTGCATAACATATTTTAGTTTTTTAAAAAACGTCTTAAAAAGGCATCATTTCCCAATGCTTAGGTTAAGCGGGGAGTCAGCTTAGGCCCAGCAGCAACCCTGTAATGTAATGTAGTATTTTTCCCAAATGTTGAATGTTGTAAAGAAGCTGTCGGCTTAAATTGACGACGTTAGGCTACATAACCAACGCTGATTGGGCTTTTTGAATTAGGGTCAAACATTTCTTGTATCAATGTTGGCAATTTTTTATTCTTTATACATATATTTTCTTGTTTATTGTAAAGTTGTGTTTGTACATTGAGAGCGGAGTGGAAACCGGAGACAAATTCCATGTATGCGTAAGCATACATGGCCAATAAAGCTGATTCTGATTCTGAATAGGCTAAAGGATATCAGGACCGCTCGTCTAACAGCAACGCCAGCCTTTCCCGGGTCCAGACCTTTGAGTCTGCCCACTCCACTGAGTTCGAGTTGACAATTCATTTTAATAATAACAGGCAAATGCCAGTCCTCAAATGCCAACCGTTGTCAGGGGAAGTCAGCAACCAGAGGCTTGAAGTTGAGTCCACCATTATTTCCAAAAGTCGGTTCATTCTCTTTTGTAAAATGTGCACGGCAGCTGCAGCACCATCCTAGTTGTATGCTACTGCAGTGAAGGATTTAAATTTCAGTCCAACTTAAAGCAAATGATTGCACATTTCCT